TAAACCCTAAACCCTAAAGTTCAACCCTAAACCCTAAACCCCCAAACAAAAAGGGGTGGCATTTAGCAGTCGAGCCCCGAGCTGCTGTCTTCTCGCTCGCTGCGATGACGTCGCCCTTACAAGGCAGGGCTTATATCAGTGTAGGGCCCTAAACCCTAAACCCTAAACCCTAAACCTTCACCCTTAAACCCTAAACCCTGAACCCCAAACCCTAAACCTTCACCCTTAAATCCTAAACCCTAAACCCGCAGTGTAAGGGGTTTAGGGTTTAGGCAAGTTTAGGGCTTTGGGTTCACTGTGAATTTATACCCGCAGTTTAGGGCTTTGGGCTTCCTCCGAATAGGGGTCCTGATGACTTGTGAGAAGGATCCTTTACTGGGCTTTGAAGGAACCGGATCCGAGAAACGAAAATGATGGGTATAGGCTTTCGTTTCAAATTCCAAAATGCTTCCTTCAGGGAAGCAGGTCCAGACAACAACTCCTGAACCCCTAGACCCTGAACACCTAAAACCCTGAAGCCCCTAAACCCCCAATCCTAACTCCTAAAACCCCACAGTAAACCCTAAACCTTCCGGCCTGGGCATCGGTCATCCGGTCGATGACAACGGAGCCCGGCTCTGTAAAGATGGTGATCGCCGGGTCTTGCGCCCAGGCCTTTTGTAACATCTAATGGTTCAGGGTTTCAGGGTTTTCTAGTACGTAGTTGTGTTGCTGCCTTGTAAGGTCTTACTAGGGCCTCGAACTGGTATTTAATGGTGTTGTCCATGGTCTTACTAAGGACCCGAGCTAGTATTTGATGGTGCTGGTGCGTTTAAAGGTCCTATTAGGGATCTGCGCTGAATTTCCAAAAGGCTTCATAAAGTAGTATGGCTTGAGAAAAGTGTATTGGCGGCTTTTGTTAGGCCGCTGGGCTTAGGATTTTGTGTTTAGGCCATGGGGGACTTACTTCTAGATAGATAGATGGATAGATAGATAGATAGATAGATAGATGGATAGATAGATAGATAGACAGATAGATAGATAAATAGATAGATCGATAGATAGATAGATGGATAGATAGATCGACAGATAAAGTCGGTGACTTGCTGGATTGGTTGGTTGACTGATTGATTTGAGTTGGTTTGATGTGGTTTGATTTGATTTGAGTGACTGATTCGTTGGTTGACTGATTGATTTGGTGACATGTTGTGGTTGATGAAGTGCTTGATTTAATGTTGAGACCTGTAAAATGCACATGTGCACAGAGGTATGCACAGAAGTATGTATGCATGCATGCATGTACGTGTACAGTGTATGATGCTTGAGACCGACTATGTTGGGGGCAATCTGATGTTTGTAATGGGCTACCTTGATCAAGCTTCCCGATGCTCTTGCGAGGTCTACAGTCTACATCTCGGTCAGATTTGGGGGGGCTTCCGAAAATAGGGGACCCCAATACAGCACCCTAAAAAGTAAGGATCCTTCTGATAAGGACCCCAAAACACCCTAAACCCTAAACCCGAAACCCGAAAGCCTAAACCCTAAACCCTAAACCCCAAAACAAAGTACCCGTCATTCTTTGGAAACCCCCCATTTTTGGCATGTCAGATACAAGGTCGAGAGCTGTTTGGTCGAGCTGCACTTAGGACTTCGCCTTGACCATGACGTAAACAAAAAGCTGTCTACCATTAGGGTTTAGGGTTTACGGTTTTAGGGTTTAGGGTTTTAGGGTTTCGGGTTTTAGGGTTTAGGGTTTAGGGTTTATAGGGTTCAGGGTTTAAGGATAATCTACCACACTACCCATCTACCCGATTAGCTCCTACATCCTAGCCGCCCATAGAGGAATCACCCTTAGCGACACCATGTATGGGAGCTAGGATTAGGAGGACCCTCGGGGATATGGACCCTCTCAATAAGGTCCCTTGTAAGAGGGCCAGAAGTAGGGTTCAGAAGGGTCCCTTTTAAGGGGTCTCCCTAATACTACCCAGGAACCATGTACCCTTGCAACTGCAGGCTGGAAGCAGCCGGACGCTCCCAAAAGGCGCGAGTTCCAGGTGGAGTTTCCGAAGGTGCACTTAGCCCCAAAGCCCTGACAAAGATGTGGCGGTTGGGTTTAGGAATGGAAGTTTAAAGCATAAAGTGCAATAGGGGCCTAGATATATTATTTTGGGGATTCCTCATTACAAATATAGTATAATGGGCCACAAGACCCTAGTCTAACTATTAAGGCCCCTATATGATAGCACTTTCAAGAGAGCTGTGGCCAGCACGTTGATCAGACTTGAATCCGTCGCATAGTACACGAAGAAGGTCCTCAGCCGTTGTGTCGGGTGTAGGATCCTTACCCCTAAAGCCTAAAGCCTAAACCCTAAACCCTAAACCCTAAACCCTAAAGCCTAAAGCCTGAAGCTGCCAGACCTTGAAACTACAAACCCCAAAGCCCGAGAACTTAAACCCTAAACCCGAAAGCCTAAAGTCCTAAACCTTCAACCCCCCATAAAAACCCTAAACCCTAAACCCCAAACCCTAAAACCCTAAATCCTAAAACCCTAAACCTTCAGCCCTAAACCCCAAATCCTAAATCCTAAAACCCTAAACCCTAAACCTTCAACCCTAAACCCAGACTTCTAGACGTCAGTGCAGTGTGTCGCAACGACTGCCAGACTTGGGTCTGGACCCCTGCCCGGCACCTGGAATGATCCATGCCTCAGGCAGGTTTAGGATGGGTTTAGGGTTTCAGGGTTCGGGTTTTCGGGTTTAGGGTTTAGGGTTTTAGGGTTTAGGGTTTAGGGTTTCAGGGGTTAGGGTTTAGGGTTTAAGGTTTTAGGGGTTTGGGTTTTGGGTTTAGGGTTTTAGGGTTTAGGGCTTAGGATTTGGAGGTTGAGGGGGCATGGATCTCTCCGATGGCGAAGGGAGCAAGTTCATGTTTGCAACGGCAGCTGCTGTAGGATGTACCGAGTGAATATGATAAGGCTGTGATGAAGTTGTACATACACACGAACCCAGAGAACCCAATACCCCTTAATGAAGGAATATACCTTAAATCATAATATTAATGCCCCTATAATTCAAGGTATATTCCTTAGTTAAGGGGTATTGGGTTCTCTGGGAAGGTGACGACAGAGCCGCCGGCGCAAGGTTCCTCGTGGGGCCCATAGGCATCTACGCGATGCAGGGCCACTTGCCTTCCAGGGTCGCGGGAGAATCTCACTTGGAGTTCGAGTGCCAGAGGGTGCATGGGCTTCGGAGCTCATATAACTAAAGCCCAAAACTCACGACCCACGGCAAAGACAACATTGTAAGTCAGCTGCCCGCGTGCCTGCGGCCCCTCTGCTGCCCGTCTCTTGCGGGCCTTAGCAGATCCAAGAGGTTCAGAAAGGCGTAGCCCCACCGGCCTATATATGGGAGTTTCCCAAAATTAGGGTACCTTATTTTGGGGGTGTTTATAACAAGGATCCTATTATTTAGAGTGCTATATTAGGGTCCCCTATTTTCGGAAACCCCCATATGAGCTGGGGAGTCTGTCAGGCTCTCCGGGTGACGATCGAGGTTGATGTACGGGGAAACGGTCGAAAAGGCGCTAAAAGTCCCGAGTGCACGTCCCGATTCAGGCTTCGTCATTCACACGTTACAGGCATTCACAATCTTCAGCTGCCTCCATACCCAGAACAATTCACTAGATCATGGCCTGCTGTTATGAACTGAAGATCCGAAACTCCAAATGTCGAACTGCACTAACGACCTGCCTAATCTTTCATGAAGAGTTCACTTCGCAGGCTACCCAAACTGCTCATGAGCATACACGCCCCAAACAGTTGTGGAGACGACGTTGGTGGCCGGGCATATGGTGAAGATGATGGCGGTGATGGCAGTCAGGACATGGGTAAAAAGGACTAACTAGCAGAGCGACGACGACTACTAGTACTTGTACTTGTAGTAGAGTGCGAGGAGGGGGAGATAGGAGTGGAAGTAGGAGTACATAAGTACAGCAAAATCAATATCATGAGAAGTGGGTGGTGGTGATGGTGGACGTAGTTGCTGGTGGGTTGTCGTTGGTTATCGTTGCTGGGCCCTCGGTTCTATGGCACTCCACAGCACAATGAATGAAATGACAATGAAGGCATGCAGCCCTACAGCCAAGACTGCAAAGACGAAAGCCACCGATGCGACGTGTATAGGGCTCGAGACAGGTCTAAGTGCATCCTTTCGGCGCAGCACCGAGCGGCGAATGCAAGCAGGGAGTAACGCGGCTTCCACTTCCAGTGTTCCCAGAGAACCCAAACACCCCTTAATTACGGAATATACCCTAAATTATATTGCCTTATTATTATGATTTAAGGTATATTCCTTAGCCTTAATTAAGGGGTATTGGGTTCTCTGGGTTGTATCCCAGGACTGAGGGTCTTTTAGTTTTCGTACGGTATCGCATGTTCTAGTATGCTTCAGAAAACTACAGTATATTGCTTAAAGGTTTATGGGACTTAGTAACTAGGGCTATGAATAAGGTAGTTATACATTGCGTATAACCCCTATAACCCCAATTAAGGTACTTATAACTGTCCCGTGATCCTCGAGGTATAGTATAGCTGCAAGATGCCCCTGCAGTTTGTATTCGACAGTCTGAGTCCATCAAAGGGGGCCCCCGAGCGTGGAAAATCTGTTTAACCTCTCTCAGAGCTATAGGCCTAAGGCTCCAAGTACCTAATAATCATATACTCTCCCAAATGTCAGCAACCTACATAGCGACGATCCTAAGCATTGGTAAGTACTTATAACTGACCTAACCGCACAACTAGAGCCGTGAGACTGAACTTAGTGGACATTGAACTGCAGCCTGACATGTGTAGAGCCTCCACCGAACAAAGCACATGGCACATCTGCAACAACCAGAAAAGGGAGCAGCAAAGCAATACGGCTAGTAATCTCGAACGACAGCGACCCTGTCATTATCGCCCTCAGCCCTGAACCACCGTCGAACCATGTACAATCACCCTCAAACCCTAACCATAAACCGCAAAACCCTAAATGCTGAACCATTTATGTACAGCATCCGAGGCAGCGCTGTTTCAGCACACCCGGATGCAATCTCCCAAGGACTTCTCAGGAGACCTCCAGATCGACCACCGAAGCTGAAGATCGGCTTTAGGCTTGGGGTGTTAGGGTTTAGGGTTTAGGGTTTAGGGTCCTATTGAGGTTCTATCAGGGCTCCATAGGTTTTCGGGTGGGTTGAGGGCTTTGCGATGGGCGAACCGCAACCCCCAAACACTCAATCCTAAAGCCTTAAAACCCCGAACTTCAGCCCTCATGCTTTGGCGGTCACGACTAAGGTACTGCCCTCTTCAGACAGCGCCAGAATCTGCCTTGCTGCTAGGGCTTAGGCTTTGAGGTTGAGCTCGGCAGGGTTCAACTTAGGCTGATGACTAGAATGAGTCGTTGAAATACGAGTTCTACATGCCTTACAGGGTGTTATATGGGTTGAAATACGGGTTCTACATGGTTTGAAGGGTGCTATATGGGTTCGATGAAACGTGAATACAGGGTATCCATTCACAACTAGACTAGGACTAGGGTTTGGTATCTTCTACTACAGCAACATAGTGACTACAGGGGACGATTATCGCTGATTGTTCAGACCCCCCTCTCTCTCTGTCTATAGATGGATAGGTGGATAGGGAGATAGATAGTTAGATAGAGCAAATATGAATATGTATATATATATATATATACATGTATATATATATAACAATAATATGTTTATGTATGTATGTGTGTACATACCTTTACATCAATATATATATATATATATCTACATATGCGGCTTCCACCAGGTTTGGAACTCGAGCGGGCTTGGGGCTCCAAAGGTTCAGAGGTTACCTGTAGTCTCCATTGTAGTTCCTTTTTTGGTTTAGGGTTTAGGGTTCAGTTTTTCTTTAAGGGTTTAGGGTTTAGGGTTTTTTGTAGTTCCTTTTTTGGTTTAGGGTTTAGGGTTCAGGTTTTTTGTTTAAGGGTTTAGGGTTTAGGGTTCAGTGTTTTGTTTTAAGGGTTTAGGGTTTAGGGTTTTTTGGTTTACCAGGTTTATGGTTCTAGGATCCCATAGCATAATACTGGTTAACAACAAAAGGGGCCACAATGGAGATTACAGGGATAGTAATGAAGAACACCGACCTCGAAAAGGATGAGGACTCAAAGAGGGGTAGAGAAGGATGCTAAACCCTAAACCCTAAACCCTAAACCCTAAACCGGGTTCAAGGTTTCAGAGAATTCAGGCCGGAGGAGTTTCGGGTAGCAGCTTGCCGGCTCGACGGCTTCCGCTACTATAGGGGCCTTCGATGAGCAGTGTTTAGGGTTTAGGGGTTTAGGGGTTTAGGGTTTAGGGTTTAGGGTTTAGGGTTTAGGGTTTAGGGTTCCCCTTATAATTTTACCCCGAAAGCAAAGTCTAGTCGTGAATTCCCCTGCAGCAAACAACAGAAAAGAACCCATATAATATAGTAAACCTCAAAAAGCCAAGGGTTTAGGGCTTAGGGTTTAGGGTTCTGCAATGTAACGAAGCCCATTTCCATTCTGATCCTTAATGCCCCTACACTGATCTTTACTGTTTTGGGCTGAGGATTGCGGCCTTTCGGGAGAACCGCATCCTATCGTTGCAACCAAACACCTACGCCATCCAAATTTGGTGGTTTTAATAATTAGACTAGGCTCTTATGGGTATACAATCGTAGAAATATTTCGCAAATCTGAGGAGCTACGGATACTAAAATAATTTCAGACCTCTGCGCACGCGATAACAGTTTCTGCACGGCTTGCGGTGAGGGGGTGGGGCTTGAGAGCTTGTGTCATATTCCACCGAGGTAGCCAGATCCTCCAACATCCCATGTAATTCGAACCCCTGATTTGATTTAGGATATTATATTCCGAAATTAACCGATGTTGGAAGATCTACGTAAACTGATGACCTGTGAAACTGTGTTCCTACTGGGCGAGGGTGCAACCTACGGCTTCAAGCCGAAAGCACACGCTAAAACGGACAATCTGCTGCAAGCCCAGAACCCAGAAACCTTAAAACCCGAAACCCATAATTAAGCCTTGAACTCCTAAATCGTGATTAAGCCGTAAACTCGTAAACCCATAAACCTTAAACCCTGAACCCGAGATCCTAAATCCCCCCAAACCCTGAACCCATGTCCGTGTCAGGTTGCGGGAATTTCTCCAGCCAAGCCTTGCTAAGCTTCACGCCATGCTTCTTCCTCAGTCGGCACATGCCGGATGCACTTTACCAGACTAATTATGGCTTTGGGGGGCGGGTATGTTATTGCCATACATACATACATGCATACATACGTACATACAGTCATACAGACATGCAGACAGACAGACAGAC